AATTTCGTTGTCTTTATTTATAATGAAAACAATTATTTATCAAAATATTTAATTTAATTTGTTTTTATTTTTGGATAGCTTTATGGATAATCAACATTGTGACAATGAACGCGCAAGACCACACGCGCCGCCAAAGCTTTTGGTGAATTGAATCTCAAACGCGATAACGAAAGCTCTCTAATGACTCAAGTTACTGCATGATTAGTAGAAATAACGACACTTGAGACCATTAATAATTCATGAATGATTACATAATAATTTCATAACTATGTGGGTATGAATTTTTTTTTATAGTGTTGATATATTAATTTGCATATGCGGGCATATTAATTTTCATATTTTGCTGGTATATTAATTTGCATATGCTGGTATATTAATTTGAATATGCTGGTATATTAATTTGCATATGTTGGTATATTAATTTATATATGGTTGTGTATTAATTTCCATAATGTTGAAATATTAATTTGCATAATGCAGGTGTGTAAATAATAAGATATTGATACAATTAATATTAATTTCCATAATGTTGATATATTAATTTGCATAATGCGGGTGTGTAAATAATAATGAGAATATAGGGTATCGCTGAGCCTCCTATCTAAGTAGTTCTGAAAAGAACTGTATTTGTTGAGAATGTCTCAACGCTAAATAATAATAATATGAACTTAGATTACACAAATAGTAATGTAAAAAACCTGTTATAAATTGTATTCAACTTAGCTGAAAATTTGTAAATGAAAATACAAATCTAAATTTCTAACTTATTTTCAGTAGGTCTAGTTTAGTTAGGGAGAAAATAAACAATAAGATTCGTTGAATAATGATAATATAAAACTTACATAGGGTGATCTCATCCTGCTTTCACAAATAGTATATAGTAATGTAAGTTCCTGTTCCAATGTAATGTAAATTCCTATTCCAAAAGGCGATCTTTTTTTCTACACAATTTCCTATAGTAGTGAATTAACAATATTAATTTCCATAATGTTGATATATTAATTTGCATAATGCGGGTGTGTAAATAATAATGAGAATATAGG